CCCCCAAAACCCCAAAACCCCAAAACCCCGTCGCAACAAAGCGAGTGGAATTATAATTATTATGAAATTATTAATTGGCCACAAATTATTTCAAGATACGAAGATAGTATTTTAAGACAAGAGAATGACATCCATCTTGAAGCCCTGAATAGCACATTTCTGAGAGTTTACGACAAGGTCCCTACAAAGTTTGAACAGGCTCGGTTCATTACTTCAGAGCTATCGTCATATTCAGATCTAATTTTTGTAAGAAAATACAGAAACTGCCTTTAACAAACTCCAAAATTGTGACTAAGGATATTTCTATAGGACTAAAGTCAGGACTGAGAGGTTTGAGAAGTGTCCAAACTGGCCTATTCAAAAATACCTGGAGCTTATCATTGGAGTGTACAGACTTAAGCGGGAGTTGCTTGAGTGCATCCTACCTCTCCTCTCTTTAGTTAACTCCATTGTGTTACTTAATGCTCGAAGTAGCCTTCACGCATATCTCTTTGCTTCATAACCTAGCTTCGGATATCATTGAGAAATTTAATCATGTAGAAGCACTTAACTTCTTTGATTGCTAATAGCAGCTGGAATACTGTTCATGATTAGTAATTTTTGATATTCCTAAAATTTTATGATATGAATAAACCTAACCATAAAATATTTCAGCTTATTAATCCTAAAGTTCATTTCAAAATTAAAAGTCTAGATCTGGCAGGATCAAGTGGATCAAATTATCGGAATAATTTATAGAGTCAATGATGGTAGTTATCAGTAGATGAAAGCTCGACCAATCCATTGAGCATATCTTCTTTAAAAAGTGGAATATTGATAAAAAACATCTTACCAAGCTTATCAGGAAGTACATACTTAGTAAAGTAATTGTTTACCTCAATTCTGTATAAAACCGAATGAGAACAATTAATTTTTTTCACCCTATCCAAAATTTCCTAAAATAACATTCAAAATCAATCCCACAGCGACTTCAATCTCATGATTTCTCAACACGTATTGACTCCAAAGCCTAAAAGTCTCTTAAATAGCCACCTATTTCCAAACCTCCCGCCCTAATTCTACCATAACGCTTTAACTCCCTTCTGAGCCAGGCTAAATTCCCCCTAAAAATTACCTAGTCTCTTCCTAAGCAGCCAAAATTTTCAATTTGTGCTATAAAATCTGGGGTTTTGGGGTTTTGGGGTTTTGGGGTTTTGGGGTTTTGGGGTTTTGGGG